GGAACTCAATTTAAACTAGCTTATGCAAAAGTAATTTATTGCAAGGGATATTTTATAGAATTAAGGGAACAGTGGATTTTCAAGACTGAGGATGGGAACAGATAGAGCTAGGCCTCAGGAGTGGCTCAAAGTGATGGGACTCAAGTGAGACTGTCTTGCTTGTCTGTGTTTAGGACTGACTTCTCTCTTTCTCCCTACATACTGGCATTCTTGAGATGGGTAAAAACATGGCCACCAACAATTCCCAGTTTACATCTTAAAAGTTTCTGCTGTAAGAGGGACACTATCATGACAAACTCTTTGGTCATCAGTACAGAAATTTTAGGAAATAGGTTAACTGGTCTAGTTTCTATAAAGGCCATGTGGTTTGAATAGAGGGAAGCCTTGTTCTCAGAAAAGGAGGTTTAGAGATATTGCTGGACTAATAAAAATAGGTGTCCACTAAAGTAATGTGAATTAATAAGACCCTTTTGTGTCCTTTTCAGGGGAAGGGACATACTTGCATACACACATGCATGTTAGTGTGGCTCTTGTTTGCTATTTTCTTATTGTAAATTAAGAGTATTTTCTATTTCTACCTTTGTAATGAGTCTGCTATAGTGATTCTAATTGTCATGCCTGATAGTCTTTCCAGCTTACCAAATTTTGACTTACACTCATTTTTTCTCACTTTTCTATTTTAGTTTAAGAGCCACTTGAAAATGAATAGGTACAAATGCATAGTATAAAAGCAAGAAGCAGACTAACCACATTTGGCACAGAAAGAAATTGGACCATGTGCACCATGACTTTATCTTTTGAATGTGTTCGGTTATTTTGGGAAGAAGATAGCTGCCAGTTAGACTTTGCTGAATGTGGTTCTCCTGTTTCTAGTATATGTGAAAATTGTAGTTTTAAGGCATCCAAGGGAGGTGCTAATTTAGATATCATATTGCTCATTTGACAAAAATGATGTGGCATTAGAGTAAGAATTAAAAGGGATTTCACTTGTTAAAATTGCTACAGGTTTGGGGATGTTTAAGTGATTTAATTAAATCAAAAATATTATTGAGTTTCTTTGGGTTCAGAGCAGGGGAGAAGGTAATGAATAGAAGAAACATATATCAGATTTTTGGTAGCACTGATAACTTTCTGTCCCTTATTCTCATATACCTTTAAAACGCCCTAAAATTAAAATGTTTATGTCTCGACTATATTTCCCAGTATTTTTTTATTAATATCTGAAGAGACATAAATATTCTTTGTCAGATTTTACATTCTAATTTTTAGATTATAATAGGGCAGCCTTTAATTAAATGCTTTTAAAAGCAGTGTTGCTCTTGTGCACTGCTCTGTTTTACTTGAATTAAAACTGATCTATTAGTCTTGAGTTCACAGAACAGCAAGCTCCATATTTAAAAGATCTCTGCAAATCTAATTTGAATTGAGCAACCATTAATATTTATTAAAATCCTAATTCAGAGTTAACTCTCAGGTTATTTATCTCTGATCTAAGAAGAATGCTCTGGGGGAAGAGACAGAAAGTTTTGATGTGGAAAGGAGTGGAGACGATCGGGTGCACACAGTGGCATTCTGTTGAGGCACATACTAACCCTGGGTCTCAGCAGATGAGTAGACTTTAAGAGGCAGTGTAACAGTGCAGGTCAGAGCATTACTCTGAAGTCAGATTACCTGGCTTGTACCCGGGCTTAACATTTGCTATTTTGTGAGAACTTTCAACTGACTTGTGCTTTTAAGAACAATTTGTCCCACACATTTATTGAATTTCCACTATGTACTAGGTATTATGCCAGGCATGGAATATTCCCTGGTAAACAAAACAGAGTTTGGGATTGTGGAGGGGGCTTCTTTAGATAGCCTTAGCATTGGGATGGCCTCAGGCTTCTCTGCCGTCCTTTCCATATCTCATCTCCTACTAACTCTCACCCATACTCCTTACGATCTAGCTATATCATGGTTTCTTTTCTGGTCCTCAGTAAGCCTTTTCTCACATCAAGTTCTTTCTCCCTAGTTCATTCCATGGCTCACTCATTCTTATTAAGCCCAAACGTCAGCTGGATCCATATTGCCTCCTGCCTTCTCCTTGCCTTTTGTAGTACTTTCCAGTATGTGATCCTGATTTATTTTCTTCTATGTTATTTATCTCTTCCATAAGAATGTTAGCTTTGGGAACGCCAGGACTACGTTGGTCTTACTCATCATTTAGTCTCCAGTTCCCGTTATAGTTTCTAGCACATAACAGGGACTCATAAAATATTTGTTGAATGGGCGAATGAAAGCTGATACCAGTAGTCAGTCATACAAAAGTAGGAGGCAAGAGCTAAGACCCTGAATTGGGACTGAATTTTCTGTGATTAAAGAGTTGAAATGATAAAGTGACAGAGGCAAGAGTGTGTTGGGCCTTGCAAGTCCTGACAAGGAGTTTGTATTTTGTTTGAATTTTAGTGGAAGGGTTTTAGTCTGGAGTTTCAGTGTAATCCAGTGTATTTTCCAAAAGTGTTCTTAGGGAGGAGAATACTGGAGGAAGGAGATGGGTTAGAGACTTTTATAGTAGATGAGAACGTTGCTTGGATTAAGCTGGTATAATTGACATAGAGCAAGATGGGATAGATGTGGGGTGTATCTTAGAGGCAGGGCTGCCATGCTGATGTGAGGAATGTGGCAGAGATGAGACAAGGATAAGATCCATATTTCTTGTTTGAGAAACTTGGTAGAAGGTGGTGTCATTTACTGAAATGGGAAATCTGAATGAGGAACAAGTTTGGAGGAGACATTAGAAATTCATTTTGGGTCATGTTTGAGTTACTGATAAGAATTCCACATGGAAATATCAGTAGAATTTTGGATTCCAAATCAGGAATTTAGAGGAGACATTTGGGTTGGGATAGAAATTTGGGACACTGTCAGCATGTAGATGGTATTTAAATTCATGACAATGAGAGATATTACTTAGAGTGTGCAAGAGGGAATCAGAAAAAAGCTCAGGTCCTAAACTTGGGGAATTTCTAACATGTAGATGTTAAGTAGAGGAGTGGCAGCTGAAGAGGACTTGGAGAAGGATTGTCCACACAAAGAACACCTGGGATGTGTGTGTCTTGGCAATCAGGGATTCTGGGGCAAACTGGAAGGGTAAAGACGTGGCTTCTAACACATGCTGCATTTTCAGAAACATAACATAAAATGAGAAAAACTTTGAGAGGGCAAATGAATGTACTTGAAGGGTTTTAAAAAGGAAGGATATTAGCATGTCTAACAAATAAATGATGACAGTCTTATTACCCTAGCCTAGAAGTATAGTTATTCCTTATTTTGATATTAGTGGAAGTTTTGATTTTTCATGAAGTTGGGAAGTAATTTTTTAAAGTGTAACTTGAAGCTGGAAATAATTTTTTTTGTGGGGGGGG